GCGGATTGATTGGACGTGCTACGGTAAGCGTACTGACTCACTTCCGGTTTACTTCCTGCTCTGTGTACACTGTTTGGTGCTGTAGCTCTGTCAGTGAACGCTAAATATAAATTAGTTTTACTCGTTACAGCGGTTATTTACCCGCTTAACATTTAAACGTAGACTAGTTCTACTTAAACACTTGGAGTTTCTCCCTCTATTAGGGACTTTTCACTACTTTCAAAGTTTTTCATACACTCTAGTTTCATTAGCATTAGCAGTTAGCTATGGCTTCTCCCTCTCCCTCTCCTCTGTCCTGCTCAGTGTGTCAGATGTTCAGTTATTCCTCTGCCTCCTTTAAAGATAAGGGTACCTGTATTAAATGTAGTTTATTTACTGCGCTGGAGGCGAGGCTTAGTGAGTTAGAGGAACGGCACCGCACCACGGAGATATCTTTAGCCGCTATAGTTAGCCAGCCCCCCGGTAGCCGGTGCGGTCCGACCCGAAGGTAGCTTCTGTTAGCTCTGTAGTTCCCCCGGTAGTTCCCGAGCAGCTGGGAAGACAGGGAGGCTGGGTGACTGAGCGAAGGAAGACTAGAACGGCGAAGCCCACAGGTCACCACCAACCGCTTCACGTTTCTAATACATTTTCCCCTCTCAGCGATACACCCGCTGAGGAACCAACTCTGGTTATTGGCAGCTCCATAGTCAGAAACGTGAAGTTAGCGAAGCCAGCGGCCATAGTTAAATGTATCCCTGGGGCCAGAGCGGGCGACATTGAATCAAATTTAAAACTGCTGGCTAAAGATAAACGTAAATACAGTAAGATTGTTATCCACGTCGGCGGTAACGACACCCGTTTACGCCAATCGGAGGTCACTAAGATTAATGTGGAGTCGGTGTGTAACTATGCTAAGACAATGTCGGACACCGTAGTTTTCTCTGGACCCCTCCCCAATGTGACCAGTGATGACATGTATAGCCGCATGTCGTCATTCCACCGCTGGCTGTCGAGGTGGTGTCCAGCAAACGATGTGGGCTTCATTGATAACTGGAAGCCTTTTTTGGGGAAAACCTGGTCTGATTAGGAGAGACGGCATCCATCCCACTTTGGATGGAGCGGCTCTCTTATCTAGAAATATGGCGAAGTTTATCTCTAAAACCTGACAGTCCAGAGTTAGGACCAGGAAGCAGAGCTGCTGTCTTACACACTCCTCTGCGCTTTCTTTAGAACAGTCACCCACCCAAAACCCCATAGAGACTGTGTCTGTCCCCCGACCACCTAAACTATTTAAAGAAATAAAAACAAGAGGAGTTCAACATAAAAATCTAATAAAAATTAAAACCAACTCCTCAGTAGCACAAAATAAGAGAATGAAATGTGGGCTGTTAAATATCAGGTCTCTGTCCTCTAAAGCTGTTCTAGTGAATGAATTAATATCAGATTATGATATTGATTTACTTTGTCTTACTGAGACCTGGTTGTCCCACGAGGAGTATGTTAGCCTAAATGAATCCACCCCCCAGTCATATTAATACTCACATTCCTCGAGGCACAGGCCGAGGAGGTGGAGTAGCAGCTATATATGATTCGAGCGTTTTAATGGACCCTAAACCTAAACTAAATTATAATTCATTTGAAAGCCTTGTTCTTAGTCTTTCTCACCCAAACTGGAAAACACTGCAGCCAGTTCTATTTGTTATAGTGTACCGCGCTCCTGGACCGTACTCTGATTTTATATCTGAATTTTCAGAGTTTCTATCAAGCTTAGTCCTTAAATCAGATAAAGTAATTATTGTAGGTGATTTTAATATTCATGTGGATGTTGACAATGACAGCCTTAGTAATGCATTTATGTCATTAATAGACTCAATTGGCTTCTGTCAGAGTGTAAATAAACCAACTCATTGTTTTAATCACACTCTTGACCTTGTTTTATCATATGGCATTGATATTGAACATTGAATAGTCTTCCCACATAATCCTTTCCTATCTGACCATTATTTAGTAACTTTTGAATTCATACTATTAGATTATAAGCCATTAGGCACAACTTCCTACAGCAGATGTCTATCTGACAGTGCTGTAGCTAAATTTAAGGAGGAGATTCCTTCAGTGTTTAATTCAATGCCATGTCTGAATTTAACAGAGTCCTATAACAACTTTAGTCCCTCTGAAATTGATAATCTTGTCGATAGTGCTACAGGCTCACTACGATCAACATTAGACTCTATCGCTCCTATAAAAAGGAAATTATTAAAACATAGGAGACTAGCACCTTGGTATAACCACCAAACCCGCCAGTTAAAGCAAATAGCTAGGAAATCTGAAAGGAAATGGCGCTCTTCCAAATTATCAGAATATCGCTCAAATTGGCAAGATGATCTTAAGATTTATAGAAAGGCCCTCCGTAATGCCAGAGGAGCCTATTACTCAGCACTAATAGAAGAAAATAAGAACAACCCTAGGTTCCTCTTCAGCACTGTAGCCAGGCTGACAGAGAGTCACAGCTCTATCGAGCCACATATCCCCATAAACTTAAGTAGCAATGACTTCATGAGCTTCTTCTATAATAAAATTATTACTATTAGAGAAAAACTTAATCACCAACTGCCATCAACAGTTATCAGTGGCTCTCCAAGTTCAGGGACTTCTGTCAATGTAAACTTAGATGTATATTTAGACTGTTTTTCTGCTATCGATCTTCATCAGTTAACTTCAATCATTTCTTCATCGAAGCCATCAACCTGTCTGTTAGACCCGATCCCAACTAGGCTGCTTAAAGAAGTTGTTCCCTTAATTGGCACTTCTTTACTGGATATGATTAATCTTTCTTTATTATCAGGATATGTACCACAGTCCTTTAAAGTAGCTGTAATTAAACCCCTTCTTAAAAAGTCTACTCTTGACCCAGGGGTTTTAGCCAACTATAGACCGATTTCTAACCTCCCGTTCCTCTCTAAGATTCTGGAGAAAGTAGTCGCCAAAGAGTTGTGTGACTTTCTACATAACAATAGTTTATTTGAGGATTTTCAGTCAGGATTTAGAGTTCATCATAGCACAGAGACAGCTCTGGTTAAAGTTAATAATGACCTTCTGACTGCTTCTGACAATGGACTTGTCTCTGTACTTGTATTATTAGATCTTAGTGCTGCATTTGACACCATTGACCATGATATTCTTTTACAGAGACTTGAGCATCAAATTGGCATTAAAGGAACTGCCCTAACCTGGTTTAAGTCATACTTATCAGATCGTTCTCAGTTTGTACATGTTAACGATGAATCCTCCATAAATACTAAAGTTAGTCATGGAGTTCCACAAGGTTCTGTACTTGGACCAATACTATTTACTTTATATATGCTCCCTTTAGGCAACATTATTAGGAATCACTCCATTAACTTTCACTGTTATGCAGATGATACGCAGTTATATCTATCAATCAAACCCAATGAAATTAATCAATTATCTAAATTACAAACATGTCTTGAGGACAAAAAATCCTGGATGACCTGCAATTTTCTGATGTTAAACTAAAAAAAAAACGAAATTCTTGTTCTTGGCCCCAAAAACCTTAGAGACTCATTGTCTAAAGATATAGTCACTCTAGATGGCATTAACTTGGCCTCTAGCACCACTGTCAGGAATCTTGGAGTTATCTTTGATCAGGATTTGTCATTTAACTCCCACATAAAGCAGACCTCTAGGACTGCCTTCTTTCATTTACGTAATATTAGAAAAATTAGACACATACTATCACAGACAGATGCAGAAAAACTAATCCATGCATTTGTTACTTCAAGGCTGGATTACTGCAACTCTTTATTATCAGGTTGCCCCAATAAGTCCATTAAAACGCTCCAATTAATTCAGAACGCTGCAGCACGAGTACTGACAGGAACTAGAAAAAGAGATCACATCTCTCCTGTACTAGCTACTCTGCATTGGCTCCCTATAAAATGTAGAATTGAATTTAAAATCCTCCTCCTCACCTATAAAGCTCTTCATGGTCAGGCCCCTTCATATCTTAAAGAGCTCATAGTACCCTATTACCCCACTAGAACACTACGTTCTCTGAATGCTGGGCTACTTGTGGTTCCTATAGTCTCTAAAAGTAGAACAGGAGCCAGAGCCTTCAGTTACCAAGCTCCTCTCCTGTGGAACCAGCTTCCAGTTGTGGTTCGGGAGGCAGACACCCTCACCACATTCAAGAGTAGGCTTAAGACATTCCTCTTTGATAAAGCTTATAGTTAGGGCTGGATCAGGTGAGTCCTGAACCATCCCCTTAGTTATGCTGCTATAGGCCTAGACTATCGGGGGATTTCCCATGGTGCACTGAGCTACTCTCTTCCTCTCTCTTTCTGCACTCATTCATGTCCCTTTAATGCATGTTACTAACTCCACTTCTTCCCCGGAGTTCTTGTGCTTTCTCGTCTCGCAGGTTCTCATGGATCCTGGTGGAGCCTCCTGCCATGGTCCTGCTTGACTGCCATTGCCAATACTGTTGTTGCTGTGCACCTGTCTGTCTGTCTGTCGCTCTCTCTCTCTCTCTCTCACCCCAACTGGTCGAGACAGACGACCACCCACCTAGAGCCGAAGGATCTGTCCTAGGTTTCTGCCTTTTAACAGGCAGTTTTTCCTTGCCCTTGTCGCCAAGTGCTTGCTCATGGTGGTACTGTTGGGTCTCTGTAATTAATGTTAAAGAGTTCGGTCTAGACCTGCTCTATTTGAAAAGTGTCCTGAGATAACTTCTGTTATGAATTGGCGCTATACAAATAAAATTGAAATTGAATTGAACCTTTCTGGGGCTCATCCAGATCTCCGTGAGCTGAGAGGCAGGTGATGGAGTCTGGGCTGTGGTTCACACAAGGATTAAAAGGCCGTAGGCGCCAGAAGGGCTGTCGGCGCTGGAGACTGAGCCGGCGCTGGAGAGGCCGGCTGCAACGGAGCAGACGCCAGCGCCAGAGCGGCCAGCCGCCGGCGCATGAGCGGCCAGCTGCACCGGAACAGCCGCCACCGTGGGAGCAGCTGTCGTCGCCAGAGGAGGATTTTCAGGTAAGTTTTAATTTTTTTTGCAGGTAAATGTGCCCCAGGCACTATCCTCGGGACTCTCTGGGGCTTCGGTTGCCGCTGAAAGAAACCGAGGAGGTCCCGGGAGGCAGCTGGAGGAGGAGGGGGAGGCATCTGGAGGAGGGGGGGAGGCCCCTGGGGTGTTCTCGGGTCCGCAATGTCAGTTGTGTCACCCTTGGGGGCCTGGGTTTTTTCTGGGGGGTTGAGCTAGTGTTTCTGGTGAGTGGGCCCGTGTTTCCAGTGCCGTCAGTTCCCTGTTCTCCCTGATTGTGTGGGTTTGTGCCTGAACCCTGTTTTGTGTTTGTGTTTTGTGTTTATCAAACACAGGTGGTGGAGCTGTGGCAGGGGGTAATGGCGGGCGGTCAGGCTTTCCCCTGTCCGCTCCATCGGTGTCTGGGTCGAGCCAGCCCTCAGAAAAGTAGTAACTAAAATGACCTCATTCTCCTCCTTGTTTTTAGCTAGCAAAATCGCGGCTGGTCTGTTTACACATTTAAACCATATTTACACTTCAAATTTTGACTCCACATCGTTGTACCAGCATACCAAGGGTCTTAAGAAGTGAGCCAAGTTGTCTCATCACGTTTTTAAAGCGTTTCCAGAGATCGTCAGCTCATCACAGCAGTGGCTAAATGCTCATTCATTTCCAACGCTTAGCATGCTAATAGCGATTTATATCCTAACGCATCTAAAGCACAGTTAAACTTTAAATGTCAACTCCACACAATAGCAGTACAATATCCTAGGTCTCAACAAGTAAACCCAGTATGGGAATATTATTTTAAACACATTTCACGGATCGGTAATGACATCGGCGGCAGTCCTAACTTACGCTAACGTTACATTGGCTCGCTGTTTCACTGCTAACTGATTACTGTATAATATATAAGCTGCCTTTTTGCTGTAGCACATAATTTTACAAACAAAAAAGTTTGTCTAAAATTATAACGTTATGTGTATGTCCGTGCGTCCGCTCACTCAAAACCCGCTCAGTCCGAATGAATGACACTGACCGTGGCTGTGGCTTTGGGGGTGGGCGGGACATGCGGCGAGCTGTCCAATCACAGCACAGCACCCAAATGGAACAGACCAATGGGGTTGACCTGGCCTTCACCCATTGGCCTGTTCCATTTGAGCATGAGCCAATGGTACCCTCTGAAATCGGTAGGCGGGCACATTTATGTGGAACACTGGTACAGAGACGAAGGCTGTCCCAGAGGCGCAAGGATGACACGCAAATTCGTGAAGCGTTCCTCATTTTTCACCCTGGTCACATCTAAAAGTTAACCCTAACCCTAACCCTCTTATTTAGGGTTAGGGTTAGGGGGTTAGGAAGGGGACTTTCTCCCTCCCGGAAGGGGAAGGAGGGTGCACGGTCCATCCAACCCTCGGACCTCCCGTAACTCCGGTCCTGGAATGGCTGACGGGCACGCTGACGGCGTCTGCCGTAGCGTACCTCCGTCCAGCCGTCCATAATGTGGTCTTTGAAATAACAAAAAACTCTTCCAAAATATCCGGAAGGAAAAAATCCGAAGTAAAATAAACAAGAGAGTAAAAATAGAACTTTCCAAAAATATATTTATTTTAATAAACACAAATAAAAAACAAAGGAAGGTGTGCTAAACAAAAGCAACGTTTCGACCTGTAAGTAGGTCTTCTTCAGGCTAAGCACACAAATAATCTCTCTCTTCTCTACCTGTAGGTGAGCTGGAGCTGTTGCCTGGTCGAGGTTCGAAGGAGAAATGAGCTCCCTCCGTCTGTCCTCCCTTATATATGCACAAAACTCCGCCCCCCTTTTTTTTATTTTTATTTTTCGGGCCTCCGAAAAGTTCGTGGCATTCGTCTAATTACTCCGGAACTCATTTTAAACTATATACAGTTATATTTACATGAAATAAACTTAAAAAAATCTCCATAACACAATGAAATTATTTTTAAATACACCATATACAATGAAATTATTTTTAAGGCACTTAATTGGACGTGCTACGGTAAGCGTACTGACTCACTTCCGGTTTACTTCCTGCTCTGTGTACACTGTTTGGTGCTGTAGCTCTGTCAGTGAACGCTAAATATAAATTAGTTTTACTCGTTACAGCGGTTATTTACCCGCTTAACATTTAAACGTAGACTAGTTCTACTTAAACACTTGGAGTTTCTCCCTCTTTTAGGGACTTTTCACTACTTTCAAAATTTTTCATACACTCTAGTTTCATTAGCATTAGCAGTTAGCTATGGCTTCTCCCTCTCCCTCTCCTCTGTCCTGCTCAGTGTGTCAGATGTTCAGTTATTCCTCTGCCTCCTTTAAAGATAATGGTACCTGTATTAAATGTAGTTTATTTACTGCGCTGGAGGCGAGGCTTAGTGAGTTAGAGGAACGGCACCGCACCACTGAGATATCTTTAGCCGCTATAGTTAGCCAGCCCCCAGTAGCCGGTGCGGTCCGACCGAAGGTAGCTTCTGTTAGCTCTGTAGATCCCCCGGTAGTTCCCGAGCAGCCGGGAAGACAGGGAGGCTGGGTGACTGAGCGAAGGAAGACTAGAACGGCGAAGCCCACAGGTCACCACCAACCGCTTCACGTTTCTAATACATTTTCCCCACTCAGCGATACACCCGCTGAGGAACCAACTCTGGTTATTGGCAGCTCCATAGTCAGAAACGTGAAGTTAGCGAAGCCAGCGGCCATAGTTAAATGCATCCCTGGGGCCAGAGCGGGCGACATTGAATCAAATTTAAAACTGCTGGCTAAAGATAAACGTAAATACAGTAAGATTGTTATCCACGTCGGCGGTAACGACACCCGTTTACGCCAATCGGAGGTCACTAAGATTAATGTGGAGTCGGTGTGTAACTATGCTAAGACAATGTCGGACACCGTAGTTTTCTCTGGACCCCTCCCCAATGTGACCAGTGATGACATGTATAGCCGCATGTCGTCATTCCACCGCTGGCTGTCGAGGTGGTGTCCAGCAAACGATGTGGGCTTCATTGATAACTGGAAGCCTTTTTGGGGAAAACCTGGTCTGATTAGGAGAGACGGCATCCATCCCACTTTGGATGGAGCGGCTCTCTTATCTAGAAATATGGCGAAGTTTATTTCTAAAACCTGACAGTCCAGAGTTAGGACCAGGAAGCAGAGCTGCTGTCTTACACACTCCTCTGCGCTTTCTTTAGAACAGTCACCCACCCAAAACCCCATAGAGACTGTGTCTGTCCCCCCGACCACCTAAACTATTTAAAGAAATAAAAACAAGAGGAGTTCAACATAAAAATCTAATAAAAATTAAAACCAACTCCTCAGTAGCACAAAATAAGAGAATGAAATGTGGGCTGTTAAATATCAGGTCTCTGTCCTCTAAAGCTGTTCTAGTGAATGAATTAATATCAGATTATGGTATTGATTTACTTTGTCTTACTGAGACCTGGTTGTCCCACGAGGAGTATGTTAGCCTAAATGAATCCACCCCCCCAGTCATATTAATACTCACATTCCTCGAGGCACAGGCCGAGGAGGTGGAGTAGCAGCTATATATGATTCGAGCGTTTTAATGGACCCTAAACCTAAACTAAATTATAATTCATTTGAAAGCCTTGTTCTTAGTCTTTCTCACCCAAACTGGAAAACACTGCAGCCAGTTCTATTTGTTATAGTGTACCGCGCTCCTGGACCGTACTCTGATTTTATATCTGAATTTTCAGAGTTTCTATCAAGCTTAGTCCTTAAATCAGATAAAGTAATTATTGTAGGTGATTTTAATATTCATGTGGATGTTGACAATGACAGCCTTAGTAATGCATTTATATCATTAATAGACTCAATTGGATTCTGTCAGAGTGTAAATAAACCAACTCATTGTTTTAATCACACTCTTGACCTTGTTCTATCATATGGCATTGATATTGAACATTTAATAGTCTTCCCACATAATCCTTTCCTATCTGACCATTATTTAGTAACTTTTGAATTCATACTATTAGATTATAAGCCATTAGGCAAAACTTCCTACAGCAGATGTTTATCTGACAGTGCTGTAGCTAAATTTAAGGAGGAGATTCCTTCAGTGTTTAATTCAATGCCATGTCTGAATTTAACAGAGTCCTATAACAACTTTAGTCCCTCTGAAATTGATAATCTTGTCGATAGTGCTACAGGCTCACTACGATCAACATTAGACTCTATCGCTCCTATAAAAAGGAAATTATTAAAACATAGGAGACTAGCACCTTGGTATAACCACCAAACCCGCCAGTTAAAGCAAATAGCTAGGAAATCTGAAAGGAAATGGCGCTCTTCCAAATTATCAGAATATCGCTCAAATTGGCAAGATGATCTTAAGATTTATAGAAAGGCCCTCCGTAATGCCAGAGGAGCCTATTACTCAGCACTAATAGAAGAAAATAAGAACAACCCTAGGTTCCTCTTCAGCACTGTAGCCAGGCTGACAGAGAGTCACAGCTCTATCGAGCCACATATCCCCATAAACTTAAGTAGCAATGACTTCATGAGCTTCTTCTATAATAAAATTATTACTATTAGAGAAAAAATTAATCACCAACTGCCATCAACAGTTATCAGTGGCTCTCCAAGTTCAGGGACTTCTGTCAATGTAAACTTAGATGTATATTTAGACTGTTTTTCTGCTATCGATCTTCATCAGTTAACTTCAATCATTTCTTCATCGAAGCCATCAACCTGTCTGTTAGACCCGATCCCAACTAGGCTGCTTAAAGAAGTTGTTCCCTTAATTGGCACTTCTTTACTGGATATGATTAATCTTTCTTTATTATCAGGATATGTACCACAGTCCTTTAAAGTAGCTGTAATTAAACCCCCTTCTTAAAAAGTCTACTCTTGACCCAGGGGTTTTAGCCAACTATAGACCGATTTCTAACCTCCCGTTCCTCTCTAAGATTCTGGAGAAAGTAGTCGCCAAAGAGTTGTGTGACTTTCTACATAACAATAGTTTATTTGAGGATTTTCAGTCAGGATTTAGAGTTCATCATAGCACAGAGACAGCTCTGGTTAAAGTTAATAATGACCTTCTGACTGCTTCTGACAATGGACTTGTCTCTGTACTTGTATTATTAGATCTTAGTGCTGCATTTGACACCATTGACCATGATATTCTTTTACAGAGACTTGAGCATCAAATTGGCATTAAAGGAACTGCCCTAACCTGGTTTAAGTCATACTTATCAGATCGTACTCAGTTTGTACATGTTAACGATGAATCCTCCATAAATACTAAAGTTAGTCATGGAGTTCCACAAGGTTCTGTACTTGGACCAATACTATTTACTTTATATATGCTCCCTTTAGGCAACATTATTAGGAATCACTCCATTAACTTTCACTGTTATGCAGATGATACGCAGTTATATCTATCAATCAAACCCAATGAAATTAATCAATTATCTAAATTACAAACATGTCTTAAGGACATAAAATCCTGGATGACCTGCAATTTTCTGATGTTAAACTCAGAAAAAACCGAAATTCTTGTTCTTGGCCCCAAAAACCTTAGAGACTCATTGTCTAAAGATATAGTCACTCTAGATGGCATTAACTTGGCCTCTAGCACCACTGTCAGGAATCTTGGAGTTATCTTTGATCAGGATTTGTCATTTAACTCCCACATAAAGCAGACCTCTAGGACTGCCTTCTTTCATTTACGTAATATTAGAAAAATTAGACACATACTATCACAGACAGATGCAGAAAAACTAATCCATGCATTTGTTACTTCAAGGCTGGATTACTGCAACTCTTTATTATCAGGTTGCCCCAATAAGTCCATTAAAACGCTCCAATTAATTCAGAACGCTGCAGCACGAGTACTGACAGGAACTAGAAAAAGAGATCACATCTCTCCTGTACTAGCTACTCTGCATTGGCTCCCTATAAAATGTAGAATTGAATTTAAAATCCTCCTCCTCACCTATAAAGCTCTTCATGGTCAGGCCCCTTCATATCTTAAAGAGCTCATAGTACCCTATTACCCCACTAGAACACTACGTTCTCTGAATGCTGGGCTACTTGTGGTTCCTATAGTCTCTAAAAGTAGAACAGGAGCCAGAGCCTTCAGTTACCAAGCTCCTCTCCTGTGGAACCAGCTTCCAGTTGTGGTTCGGGAGGCAGACACCCTCACCACATTCAAGAGTAGGCTTAAGACATTCCTCTTTGATAAAGCTTATAGTTAGGGCTGGATCAGGTGAGTCCTGAACCATCCCTTAGTTATGCTGCTATAGGCCTAGACTATCGGGGGATTTCCCATGGTGCACTGAGCTACTCTCTTCCTCTCTCTTTCTGCACTCATTCATGTCCCTTTAATGCATGTTACTAACTCCACTTCTTCCCCGGAGTTCTTGTGCTTTCTCGTCTCGCAGGTTCTCATGGATCCTGGTGGAGCCTCCTGCCATGGTCCTGCTTGACTGCCATTGCCAATACTGTTGTTGCTGTGCACCTGTCTGTCTGTCTGTCGCTCTCTCTCTCTCTCTCTCTCTCACCCCAACTGGTCGAGACAGACGACCACCCACCTAGAGCCGAAGGATCTGTCCTAGGTTTCTGCCTTTTAACAGGCAGTTTTTCCCTTGCCCTTGTCGCCAAGTGCTTGCTCATGGTGGTACTGTTGGGTCTCTGTAATTAATGTTAAAGAGTTCGGTCTAGACCTGCTCTATTTGAAAAGTGTCCTGAGATAACTTCTGTTATGAATTGGCGCTATACAAATAAAATTGAAATTGAATTGAACCTTTCTGGGGCTCATCCAGATCTCCGTGAGCTGAGAGGCAGGTGATGGAGTCTGGGCTGTGGTTCACACAAGGATTAAAAGGCCGTAGGCGCCAGAAGGGCTGTCGGCGCTGGAGACTGAGCCGGCGCTGGAGAGGCCGGCTGCAACGGAGCAGACGCCAGCGCCAGAGCGGCCAGCCGCCCCGGAGCAGCCGCCGGCGCATGAGCGGCCAGCTGCACCGGAACAGCCGCCACCGTGGGAGCAGCTGTCGTCGCCAGAGGAGGATTTTCAGGTAAGTTTTAATTTTTTTGCAGGTAAATGTGCCCCAGGCACTATCCTCGGGACTCTCTGGGGCTTCGGTTGCCGCTGAAAGAAACCGAGGAGGTCCCGGGAGGCAGCTGGAGGGAGGAGGGGGAGGCATCTGGAGGAGGAGGGGGGAGGCCCCTGGGGTGTTCTCGGGTCCGCAATGTCAGTTGTGTCACCCTTGGGGGCCTGGGTTTTTTCTGGGGGTTGAGCTAGTGTTTCTGGTGAGTGGGCCCGTGTTTCCAGTGCCGTCAGTTCCCTGTTCTCCCTGATTGTGTGGGTTTGTGCCTGAACCCTGTTTTGTGTTTGTGTTTTGTGTTTATCAAACACAGGTGGTGGAGCTGTGGCAGGGGGGTAATGGCGGGCGGTCAGGCTTTCCCCTGTCCGCTCCATCGGTGTCTGGGTCGAGCCAGCCCTCAGAAAAGTAGTAACTAAAATGACCTCATTCTCCTCCTTGTTTTTAGCTAGCAAAATCGCGGCTGGTCTGTTTACACATTTAAACCATATTTACACTTCAAATTTTGACTCCACATCGTTGTACCAGCATACCAAGGGTCTTAAGAAGTGAGCCAAGTTGTCTCATCACGTTTTTAAAGCGTTTCCAGAGATCGTCAGCTCATCACAGCAGTGGCTAAATGCTCATTCATTTCCAACGCTTAGCATGCTAATAGCGATTTATATCCTAACGCATCTAAAGCACAGTTAAACTTTAAATGTCAACTCCACACAATAGCAGTACAATATCCTAGGTCTCAACAAGTAAACCCAGTATGGGAATATTATTTTAAACACATTTCACGGATCGGTAATGACATCGGCGGCAGTCCTAACTTACGCTAACGTTACATTGGCTCGCTGTTTCACTGCTAACTGATTACTGTATAATATATAAGCTGCCTTTTTGCTGTAGCACATAATTTTACAAACAAAAAGTTTGTCTAAAATTATAACGTTATGTGTATGTCCGTGCGTCCGCTCACTCAAAACCCGCTCAGTCCGAATGAATGACACTGACCGTGGCTGTGGCTTTGGGGGTGGGCGGGACATGCGGCGAGCTGTCCAATCACAGCACAGCACCCAAATGGAACAGACCAATGGGGTTGACCTGGCCTTCACCCATTGGCCTGTTCCATTTGAGCATGAGCCAATGGTACCCTCTGAAATCGGTAGGCGGGCACATTTATGTGGAACACTGGTACAGAGACGAAGGCTGTCCCAGAGGCGCAAGGATGACACGCAAATTCGCGAAGCGTTCCTCATTTTTCACCCTGGTCACATCTAAAAGTTAACCCTAACCCTAACCCTCTTATTTAGGGTTAGGGTTAGGGGTTAGGGAAGGGGACTTTCTCCCTCCGGAAGGGGAAGGAGGGTGCACGGTCCATCCAACCCTCGGACCTCCCGTAACTCCGGTCCTGGAATGGCTGACGGGCACGCTGACGGCGTCTGCCGTAGCGGACCTCCGTCCAGCCGTCCATAATGTGGCCTTTGAAATAACAAAAAACTCTTCCAAAATATCCGGAAGGAAAAAATCCGAAGTAAAATGAACAAGAGAGTAAAAATAGAACTTTCAAAAAATATATTTATTTTAATAAACACAAATAAAAAACAAAGGAAGGTGTGCTAAACAAAAGCAACGTTTCGACCTGTAAGTAGGTCTTCTTCAGGCTAAGCACACAAATAATCTCTCTCTTCTCTACCTGTAGGTGAGCTGGAGCTGTTGCCTGGTCGAGGTTCGAAGGAGAAATGAGCTCCCTCCGTCTGTCCTCCCTTATATATGCACAAAACTCCGCCCCCTTATTTTATTTTTCGGGCCTCCGAAAAGTTCGTGGCATTCGTCTAATTACTCCGGAACTCATTTTAAACTATATACAGTTATATTTACATGAAATAAACTTAAAAAAATCTCCATAACACAATGAAATTATTTTTAAATACACCATATACAATGAAATTATTTTTAAGGCACTTAATTGGACGTGCTACGGTAAGCGTACTGACTCACTTCCGGTTTACTTCCTGCTCTGTGTACACTGTTTGGTGCTGTAGCTCTGTCAGTGAACGCTAAATATAAATTAGTTTTACTCGTTACAGCGGTTATTTACCCGCTTAACATTTAAACGTAGACTAGTTCTACTTAAACACTTGGAGTTTCTCCCTCTTTTAGGGACTTTTCACTACTTTCAAAATTTTTCATACACTCTAGTTTCATTAGCATTAGCAGTTAGCTATGGCTTCTCCCTCTCCCTCTCCTCTGTCCTGCTCAGTGTGTCAGATGTTCAGTTATTCCTCTGCCTCCTTTAAAGATAATGGTACCTGTATTAAATGTAGTTTATTTACTGCGCTGGAGGCGAGGCTTAGTGAGTTAGAGGAACGGCACCGCACCACTGAGATATCTTTAGCCGCTATAGTTAGCCAGCCCCCAGTAGCCGGTGCGGTCCGACCGAAGGTAGCTTCTGTTAGCTCTGTAGATCCCCCGGTAGTTCCCGAGCAGCCGGGAAGACAGGGAGGCTGGGTGACTGAGCGAAGGAAGACTAGAACGGCGAAGCCCACAGGTCACCACCAACCGCTTCACGTTTCTAATACATTTTCCCCACTCAGCGATACACCCGCTGAGGAACCAACTCTGGTTATTGGCAGCTCCATAGTCAGAAACGTGAAGTTAGCGAAGCCAGCGGCCATAGTTAAATGCATCCCTGGGGCCAGAGCGGGCGACATTGAATCAAATTTAAAACTGCTGGCTAAAGATAAACGTAAATACAGTAAGATTGTTATCCACGTCGGCGGTAACGACACCCGTTTACGCCAATCGGAGGTCACTAAGATTAATGTGGAGTCGGTGTGTAACTATGCTAAGACAATGTCGGACACCGT